GCTTCTGTCATTTGATTTCACTTGGTGGGTGCGTTTCATATTAGAAGATGTTACTGGTTAAAGCGTTGTCAAACTCCGAATATCTGTGGCATCTTCACCATCAGCAACAGCTTTTTGTGGGAGAGAACCAATCAGCTTCCAGCTGGAAGCTCAGTACAGTAAAAGTGCCTTGACGTTGGTATTGAAGATTCTGACTTTGATATTAGTTGAAAGTTGTTTTGAGTTCCATATGTTCTTTAATTGAAGGAATGCGGTTCTTGCTTTTCCGATCCTCGCCTTTACGTCTGCATCTGAACGCCCTTGTTTGTCTACGATGCTTCCCAGGTATGTGAAAGATTCCACATCTTCTAGAGTTTTGCCATCAAGAGTGATTGGATTGCTGTTCTCCGTGTTGTATTTGAGGACCTTGGTTTTGTCTTTGTGTATTTTGAGGCCTACTGATGCAGTAACTGCTGCTATGCTGGCTGTCTTTATCTGCATTTGTTCGTATGTATGCTATAGGAGGGCTAGGTCATGTGCGAAGTCGAAATCGTCAAATTGGTTTTGAGCTGTCCATTATATGCCGTGTTTCCCCTCACATGTCGAGGTCTTCATATTTCAGTCGACCACCAGAAGAAAGAGGACGGGAGAGAGTAGACTCTAGTGTCTGTCATTATGTTAAGCCCAAATACCTCATTATTCTAACTTTTGGACAGCTCATTCTATTCACTCTATTGGAGTCACATTCTGACCTTGTTAATTATTCGCTTATCAATGTCTTGACTGTCTGTATATGAGCGCGTAGGCGTATGCACACTTCTTATCCCGTTACTCATCACATGTCTGAAGTTTATTTTTGTGGGCTTATAAATATTGATTAACTCTTTGTTAAAGGAGAGTTGGCTTACCAGCCATCTCCACCGCTCGTCAATTTTGCTTCGTTTTCTTCTCTTCGCGTCGTTCCTCCGTTCGTTTGTCTAATCAACAATTATACGAAATATATGCATTCAAAACTCCATTCTCGTTATTTGACTTATATAATTCCGTTATTAACTAACGCGATTTAAGTCAATGATTATATACGAGGATAGGTGATAGCAAACATTCATAAAATCATACGATCAAATTGGAGTCAGATCACGGGCTACTAACAGACAGTCTTGTCCAACTCCGGTCCTTACTTGGAATGCGTCTGTCGGCTGTCCTCCATGCACTACTTTGCACTGTAGTCCGTCGTATGAGTTCCTGATAATATTGTATATATATATATATATATATATATATATATAAACGGTCAAATAGGTGCATGGAAGGTCAGAGGTAGCTAAGATAATAAAGGAAGCAATGTGAAACTCATAACGTTGGATGATAAACTAGTATTAACAGGGTAGGTTTAAGATTATAACCAACTGTTTTTTGAATACAACCTTTTAATCGCTGGGAAATTCCGGTCATATTTGATGTCTGAGAGTGAAACTAAAGGACGATTGGTCGTTGAACATGAACAATTAGTCACATCCTACAGAGTATTACATATTTGATTTCTAATCCTGACTCACTGAGTGTGACTGCTCATAATAGTATTAAATAAAGTATTCTCTAGTGTTAATCTGATCCTCTAATTTGGGTCGTGAATCCTCTTTCTGATATAACGTGATTAGCCTTATAAACGTATTATCGTAATATACATGTAGAGGGAGGAATATATTGTAAACCTTACGTTATATCAATACTAAAACACAGATGTACGGGAGAAGAATATTCTTCTCAATAATAACAATGTCTCTTCAGGTTCTACAACTATTTATCCAAATTAATAGTCCAAAAATTGATTTATTTATTTGATCACATAAACATTGGTACAAGGAGGCACCGAATGGATATGCGCCACATAAATCATTCGATTTATATGAGGGTTGGGATACTACTCCGGTGCCCAAAGCTAAGCAGGTGGTTTTCTTAGGGGCCACACCCGGAGTTTTCGACCTAAAGGTCTGATTCACAAAGCAGTGGAGGAACGTAAGGAGATGCAGTTCCATGGTAGCTGGTGATCAACCACTAGCTCATACGCAATTCTTTCTCTCAGGATCCTGGAGCCCATGTGCACCATTGACTTGGAATAAGGGTTTTCCAACCCTTCTAGGTGGATCCTCCATATCCACCAACCCGGTTATAGCATCGGACATTCACCTTTCGTCCTCTCAATTTCGTAAACAACAGTAATGTCGCGAGAAGGCAGTGAGTAGGACTTCCTTGACAGCGTCTTTATATGCGTGGCATTCGATGCCCCTTTGTGACAATATTTATGTGTTCAAATAAATAATTATAGAACTTGAAGAGAATTTTATTGAAAAGAATATTCTTCATTCACATATCTATGGTTTTTAATTCATCATAAGGCGTTCGAATTTTCGTATGGTCAAGTCTTCAGTAAGCCTTAATATGCTCCCTTTACCACTTGTATTACACCACATAAGCCGTGCTACGCTGTCGATTTGACGATACATGGTGTTATTATACTGGAATTGAACGTCTATTGTGGACATTAATAGTAGCAATGGGAAGTACATTAGACCCAATTCTGGCAGATATTTTTATGGGGTATCTTGAAAACATGGTGCTTAAACAGGTGATTAGCAAAACGACGGAATATTCCACATATTTTGATGACACGTTTATTCTCTGTAACAATAAACAGCAAGCAATCCGCTTGCTAAAACTCTTCAATAACGCTCATCCTAACATACAATTTACTATGGAACACGAACAGAATGACACGTTCCACTTTCTTGATGTTGCTATAAAACGTAGGAGAGATGGGAATGGCCTTTACCTGAATTTTAATAGTTTTTGTACACTCAGTTACAAGAAGGCATTAGTTAAAACACTATTTCATAGGGCGGAAAGGATATGTACCACTGACAAACTGGAAGAAGAATTGATGAACGTGGAAAAATGCCTAAGAGACAACTTTTACCCACAAAAGTTTATTGACAAATATAAAAAGCGTAAAGAAAACAATACTGAACTAATTACGGTTAATAAGAAACCAATAACTATAAATCTTAACTTCAAAGGTGATGATGTTGCAAACACAATAAACAGGAGACTGAATACTACGCTAGCCAGAACTTATCCGGCGGCCAAACTTCTAATTCTGTATAAAACAACATGTTCAATAACTCAATCAAAGGTTGATAAGCATCCTTTTCATGTTACCGCCAATTGTGTTTATAAATTTACGTGTACCTGCCAAAGCAGCTACATCGGCCGAACAGAAAGGAGAGCATATCTCAGATTTTTTGAACATGTTCCAAAAAGCCTCAGAACAAGAGAAAGAAAGACTTTAAATAGTGCAATCACCAAACATCTCCTTGATACAGGACATCAGGTCGATACCCTACAATCGTTCAAGGTGATTAGTAAGCAGCCAAACTCCAGTCTTCTGAAGTTTGCTGAAGCAGTTGCTATCAGACGCCAAAAACCTGATTTATGTGTTCAAAAGGAGATGGTTATTAATCTTTCCTTGCCTTGGTGACTAATATTCCTTCGCTATATGTCAATATATTTTTTTTAATATATTTTTTTTCGTTTTCTTTGAACTCTTTCTTGCACTTATCACATCATTGAGTTTTATTCCAACTATCTTCCAAAAAATATTTTTAATCTTATTTTTATCAACTGAACTCTACTCAATTTTTTTTCCTATCAATGTTTACTTGTTTCTAGCCCTTTGAACCGTTGTCACAAAGTTCTTATATATAAGGTATATATTTACAATAATCAGTCTATTAAATTTATTTACGCTTTCGCTATTCATTTTCTAATATTGGTTCTAATGAACTATTGATAGCGATCTCATCGATTTGACGATAGTATTCACGTTCAACTAATAAATTTTTAAGAATTTTTAAAGAAAAGATTGTTAGAATAAATTGGAAATTTCATGTGGACTAATTACCACGTAAGTTGTTTTCAAACTTGTTATGTATTTTTTTCTCCGAACTAAACTAATTGCTTGACAGGTTTTAATTGTCATAATATAAATCACGAATTATTCTTAGCTGGAATACCAGTGAAAACATAAAAACATTTGTGGTGGTCGGTGTTCGATATATTCCTTAAACTCCGTATACAGTTCGTCTCGGTAACCGTCACCAAATAATGCTCCAACGGTATATTAATCAGAAGGCGAATACGAAGTGTTAATTACGTTTATTAAGGGACCACACACAGATATCCAAAATTACAGATGCGTTAAGCAAGCATGAAATAGTTGTGCCGAAAGGCAAACAGGCAAGCGAGCGAGCGAGAGAGAGCAAGGGCAAGAGCGAGCGATCGAGCGAGTGAATGAACGAACGAGCGAGTCATGAATATTAATAACATGGACATATATATATATAGTGAAATGAATGAATCATCGAGTCAATTAAGCGGTTAATAGTAAAGCTAGTAGCGTGAATAAATGTATAGGCAGTAAGGCTTGCCGAACATACATACTCATACAAGGATAACAATAATAAAGGTACATACATTCGCAACAGTAATAAGGATACAATAAGTTATTATAGTGCAGGTGACTTTGTCCGTTTAATAAGTTAATAAAAGGGCTTAACCGAATTAGGTGAGAGCAAACTCAATTGAACGTGAGTTGCTATACATTGAATAACTCTCTCAACTTAGGATGGGACTCTTCAGTAGCACGCATACATTTTCTCTCAGTGAGAAATCAAACCTAGAACCAATCTTGTCTGTGAACTTGTAACCACCCATATCCAGTGTCTGTGATGAATAACTGTCTCATACCTGTTATAGTTAGAGTTTTGATGCCAGCTCATTTGTTCGAAGGTTAGACATTCTCATGCAAGAACAAAAGTCTTTAGTTCGATTTCATTTTTCGAAGTTGTGTATTCTTCTATAAATTTCCAAAGATTCATTTATCATTAATTTTTATTCTTGCCTTCTATTTATTTACTATTTTCTTCTTTTATAGTGGTATCTATGATATGTATGTAGACAATATGTCATCCGATAGTTTAAATGATCTCATTCATAATCTTCTCATGTTCATCTTAGAATATAATTGGATATATAATTTTCAATGGATTGGTGATTTATGTAAGTCTAATAAAGATTCTTCTCATTTATGTATATCATCTACTATTATTGAAAATTTACCAAAATCTTGGAAAACTGTATTAATGACTGCGAGTCTTCAAAAATTACAAGTAAGTTGATAAGAATTAAATGAAGAAAATAATTTGTTAAAGTTTAATATTGTTGTTGTCGTTGTGGTCGTCATCGCCGTCGTCGTCGTCGTTGTTGTTGTTGTAATGTTTACACGGATTGATTACTAAATAGTAGTAGTGATCAGTGTTATAATGGTCTGACCTTTATCGATTGATTGATTATGATCAATTTAGAGAAGATATTTGTAAGCTACTAGTATTTGATCACAGATGTCTTAAAAGTATTGCTCGCATCTGCTGGGATCACCGGGTAATTAGTAGTAAGGTTAGACAGATACAGGGTATTAGGGAATGATGGTAAATCAATTGATGAGGTTGTGAATCTTCATCGACTGAGATGGTTGGGCCACGTGCTGCGTATGCCTGAACACCGATTACCACGATGTGCAATGCTGATTAGTGTTGGGGATGGTTGGAAAAAGTTAGTGGCGGCTAAACCAAAATGTGATATCAGTGCTTGAAGTCACTAACTTCTAGTCTGATATATGTTGGTAGATGTAGACTACTTGGTTGTGGTCATCGTGACTATCTTATTTATTTATTTATTTATTTATTTATTTATTTGAACACATAAATATTGGTACAGGGGGGCACCAAATATATATGCGCCACACAAAACAATGATAATTTGAAGAGAAGGAGAAAAGAGAAAAAAAAGTAATGAACGTGGGGAATTATAAAAAAAAGAGGGAGAGAGAGAACAATGGTGAGGGAAACGGAAACGCACAATCAGAAGAGATCTTTTAGTTAAGGAAGATACAACCACTTTTTATGAAGAAAGTAAAAGAAGGTTACAGCAGGATCGCCACTGGCTTCTATTCTGAGCCATATCTGATAACGTCTTTAGCCACTGCGTTACACCGTCTCTCGGACCCCAGCCACGGAGTCGTGATGGACCAACAGAAGCTAGCCCTTTGCAGCTTTCTTTCATACCACGACACCATGTCATATACTGACCATCTCTCCGCTTTTTCCAACCAGTCCCAGAGTCGGCAAATAATGCACGACGTGGAATTCTCTGGGACGACATTCGTAGAACATGTCCAAGCCACTGAAGTCCGTGTTTCAAGATGGTGACACCAATTTCATTATCGTCTCTGTGACTGAACACTCGATGCCGAACCTCTGCATTACTGACATGGTGTTGCCACCGGATGCCAGCAATCCTTCGGAGACAACGATGATCGAACACAGAGAGTCGTCTAACATCCTCAACTCGGAGAGGCCAGGTTTCACAATCATAGAACAAAACTGCTCTCACCGTCGCGTTGTAGATCCATCCTTTTACAGCCAGACTAACATCACGAAGGCACCAAAGATGGCCCAGATTGGCATAAGCCGCTCTGGCTTTCACTATACGTGCATTGATCTCATCACTCACACCACCACCAGCACTTATGCAGCTACCTAGATACACGAACTTCTCGACTACTTCTATCTGCTCACCATCCAGAGTTAATACAGGATTAGAATCCTGCCAGTCTTGTAGAAGAACTTTGCACTTCGAAGGTGCAAAGCACATACCATACCTACGGACACTGATTGCCAACTGATTAAGTGCGGATTGCATGGCTTGGGCATTCTCGCACAGTAAGACAATATCATCCGCATACTCAAGGTCGAGAAGTCTTTCTTCAGGCAACAGATCCACACCACCATTACTTACACCCGTCAGAGCTGTTTCCAGAATGTCATCGATGGCAAAGTTGAAGAGGAATGGTGAGATTGGGCAACCCTGCCTAACTCCACTGCTTGAATGGAATAGTGGAGAAAGGTGGTTGTATGCCCTCACTCTACCTGAGGTGTTTGTATATAAGGCTTTTAGGATGTTAATAAACTTCTCAGGCACACCCCTCTTCAATAGACAATCCCAGAGAACAGTTCTGTCCAACGAATCGAAGGCAGCCCTGATATCAAGAAACACTACGATTGTTGGCCTTTGATAAGTATGGCGGTGTTCTAACACTTGGCGGAGGGTGAAGATATGATCAATACATCCTCGACCAGAACGAAACCCAGCCTGCTCCTCGCGAGTCAATCCTTCTCGGGTTCTGAACAACCTACGAAGTATGACGGAAGCCAATATCTTGGACGTAATCGGAAGTAGACTTATTCCCCGATAGTTGTTACAGGAACGAAGTGAACTCTTTTTAAAGATAGGAACAACTATCGACTCATTCCATAACGTTGGTACACTCTCTAGTTTCCAGATCTTTGTAAACAACGTCGTCAGTCCCTTAGTCAAAAAGTCAGCACCATCTTTAAAAAGAGCCGGAGGTAAGTCGTCTGGGCCCGATGATTAGTAACGTTTCAAGAGTTGGATTTCCTTGCGGACTTCCGCCTCATTTGGTGGATCAGTCGTCACCGGCCATGGAGGGCAGGACAGTCTGACCGATGTTGCCGGAGCAGCAGGCCAGTTGAACTGCCCTTCAAAGAATTCTGCCCATTGTCCAAGACGTCGATGGATGTTAGTGATTGGCGTTCCGTCATCCTCGCAGATTGTTTCGCTCCCACCAGACTTCTTGCTGCCAGTGGCTCGGATGAGTTGGAAGAGCGAACCCACAACAGACTGTACCCGCTATTTTCATGGCGTCATGCAATTGCAACAAATGCTCATCTATACTTTTCGGTGGAATGGTAGCTAGTCTAGAAGCTAGCTCGGTTCGGTACTTATTAGCAACAGAAGTTGTGACCAGCTTGCTAACATCAATCCTGTGGTGGCGGTCACTTCGTTTTCCACTGAAAAGTAAGGTAAGATTGACGCAGACCAGAGCATGAACAGATTCCAGATAGGTACTCCAAAAAGAGCGGCAGTATTGTACACAATCGCACCAGCGGTAGCTGATCGCGATGTGATCAATCTGAGTCCGGGCTTAAGATGCAGAAGGAGGACGCCAGGTGGCACATCGGCGATGACTGTGCCGAAAGTTAGTGCTAGCCAGAAACAGGTTGTGGTCTGTGCATAGTTGCAGTAGACGTTCCCCGTTATCTGTCCTGCGACCAACGAGTCCCCATCGGCCACCTAAACGACTCTCTTCTGTGCCTAGACGCCCGACCTGAGCATTCAAGTCTCCAGCTAGTACTACAATATCTGTCGAACGCACTTTCTGGAGAAGAACAGTGAGCTGATGGTAGAACTCGTCCTTGATTGCATCCGGGCTGCAATCTGTCGGGGCATAGGCGGAGATGACGAAAAAACATCGTTTCTCATGCCGATTTCTTCTCACTTTGATGGAACTTTCTAATCTAACAGCACTTAGCCGACTGTTAATGGGGATCCAGTCGACTAGTGCTGCCTCAGCTCTAGCGCTTAGTGAGACACCAACGCCCAGCAAGACCAGACGAAGATGCCACAGGGTCCCCGGACAATCGCACGTAAAACAAGCTTTTTGAAGTGACAGATGGAGAGCGAATTTGTAGTACTTCACCAGAGTCTTGAATACGGGTCTCGTATAGACAACAAACGTCAATATTAAGACTTTCCAAAAACATAGCCAGCCCTATCTGTTGCCCGACCTGCATAAGTGTGCGAACGTTGAAGGTAGCCAGTTTGAATGGTGCGCGTGGTTTCAGAAAGACTGCTTCAGTACTCTTATTCGATGGTAACATACAATTTTCAAACCAGGCAGTGACTCGAGAACGTTTAGATAAAGCTGAATTTTTACCATAGGCGAGCTGCTGTCTGAGTCGAAACGGATACAAAAAGTAGAAATAGGAGATAGTGAGTAAATGACGTAGTAAATATTAATAATAATAGTACCAGTCATTTCAATGTCAGTCGGAGAGAAACGAATATTTTCTATAAGCAGATAGTTCATCATAGTTTTAGTGTGTGGGCTGAGATACTGCCCAGCTGCACAGACCGAAGCAGGTGGTTTTCTTAGGGAGCCACACCCCGAGCCTTTGACCTAAAGGTCTAGTCCACAAGGCAGTGGAGCATCGTGAGGAGATGCAGTCTCATGGAAGCCGGTGACCAAAAGCTGGTTCATACGCCATTGGTTCACGCAGGATACTGGAGCCCATGTGCAACATAGAATTGGGATCCGGTTATAGCGCCGGACGTTCGCTTTTCGTCATCTCATTTTCGTAAACAACACCTCCGCCACGAGAAGGAAGTGAGTAGGACTTCCCTGGCAGAGGCTGTATACGCGTGGCCGTGTGAGAGTATTTTGAGAGGGAGGGCGAACCGTCCCCGCTCTCGGCCATACCAGGGCATTTGGGGGGCCAGTGTGACTATCGTAATCAATGGTTGCAGAGTGTGGGTGACATGGCTCAGAATCGATCACAATGGCGTTAGGTGTATACACTCACTGTCTACCCCTAATCGGTAAGATTAAAAATACTTTATATCTTTCTTTCTTCGAATTAGTCCTTTCTCCCTGTATTATATGCTTATATATAATCTTTCTCTTATATATTACTATCATTGAAGCAAGTGTAGTGAACATGAACAAACGAATGTGTTTAAGTACAAAATTACAGAATATCTCACTAAAATCTGAGAACCATTTAGTCAATAGTTTACTAGCATAATATCGATCCATCATCTCAAACTTGACTGTTTCTCTTGCAAATATCAGTCCATTGTCTCAGATTTCATTATTCATGCATTTTTATACCAATCACATTCCGTTTTCTTCCTTTCCTTATCGATCTACTGAAATACATTCTATTCCTGACCACCGTTATATGCTACTTATGTGGATATAAGTAACCCACACCACACAACCACTTCTATGAATTTGGTATTCCTCTTGTTGTGCTAATGAGATATGGCAACCTAGACCGTTAGATATATGTGCCTGGTCCTACGTTGTAGTTGACTGACTGAACTACAGTTCTAAACATCAACCAACACAAAAATGAATTATCGCCAAATATCCTTTGTTTTCAATAGTTGAAATCATGAGTCAATTGAAGCTGGATCACCATAGAAAACCTGGAAGCACTGGACGACCGTTTCGTCCTAGTATGAGACT